GACGTATGAGGGGGACATTGAGTGAGAGAAGGTGGAGGAAGAGAGTGAGTTCATTTAACCATGAGACTGAAGTAAATTAGTAGCACAAAGACAGCAAGACAATTTAGTCAGATGACAGCACAAAATGACATGCAAACAGATGATGTACAGCACATGCAAACACAGTTCACACATCAACCACTGTTTTTCATGCACCACGTGTGTGTATGAACATGTATGCGTTTACAACACTATACACCATACACTGTACAGAAGTGCACTGCGCATTCAGACGGGTTTGGTGTGATTAAAACGAACCCCAGCGCAATTGCTTTGTTAGTGCAGTTAGTTAGAACAAGTGAAAATGCTGTCATCCAAACTCAGGTGCGGACCAAATAAGTGGACTAAGACCCCCTAAGCAGGCTGATCTTGGTTCACTTCGAAACAAACTCTGGTGTGGTTCATCTGAGGTATGAAGACAATACAGACCAAACACGAAATAAACCTTTGTCTCCTCCTGCATAGCTTCTTTGGTACATTGAAAAAATAAGTTTCTGATGCAGTTCTCTTTTCATAACCTTTGGTTTTAAAACGAGGCTGAGGCACGTTTGAAGCCATTGTAAAATACTCAACATACACAGCTGACTGCACACATAAATTACCTTATTTATTAACGTGCCAAGATTTCTCCATTTTCTAAAAGCAGTAAGCCACTTGAGGCTGTGTTACAGGGATTCCACCCTGTCGCTCTGTGTTGAACAAAACGATTATAACACAGGGACTTTTGAGGCTTATTGCTTTAATATAAGACAGATAAATCAAGACATAAATAAAAAAGAAAATGAACTCAGATAGAACAGAGAACAGAACATCATGATTCAGAAAATTCTGTGGACCTTATCACAGTTATTGTATGTCATAAAAACAGCCTAATTAGTTACGACCTTTTACTTGTATGACTTTTGTTTACATCTTTTGCTTCAATGTTAAATATGTCAGTGTGAACGTTAAGTAAACCAAAACTAAAATGCAACGTGTCATTTTCTGCTTTAGTCTGGACCAAGGAAACAAAACTTGCTATAGGATAAACTGAGAGAGTCACTGAACTAGCTGAGAGTTTTGCTTGATAGGTGGGGGTGGTGAGAAAAAGAAGTAAAACATCAAATGATTTGGTTAATATTATTCTGCACACTGTCCCCCTGAAACTGAATACGTTTATTTGGTTGGAATGACCAAGTTCTTAATCTAATTTCTTGATCTTAAAATTGTCTAATCTTCATATTTTGTTTTGCCATTAACTGTTTGGTGTTTTCCATTGCGGGAAACTGAGAAGACACTTTCAAGGAGGCCAAAAGTCACAACTGTCATGATGAGTCCACCCCAAAAAAAAACCACCAAAACAACAACCAAGAATTAGAAACTTTTAAATGGAATGGACTGTGGAATGATAAGTCATGTTTAATATGACCAGGGACATGTATGGTCTTTTTTCAGGTTGACTTTAAGAGATATAGGACTGCATGCTTCATAGTAGGCTTCTGATATTATGTGCAATATACCGTCATCCGACCGTGTCCCATAGCAATCGGTGATTCAGGTCGCTTTCCCGTACCACCAGCACACCATCTAACCGTGTTTTCAGTGCACACAGAAAGAAGAGCAATAAATATCAATTGCAGAGTGTTCCTTACACTGGCAGACCAAAAATCGACTGAAATCCGTGGCTCCTTTCTCCAGCAAACCATTTCAATACAGCAGGTTTTTGTGGTAACACCACACTACCTGCTGTCCCTATTTAAACCAGAGAAAACAAGCATGTTTTCTGGAACAACAAAGAACTTTGTTCTTGCTATGGTTTGGTATTTTTTGGTATGGTTTGGAAGTTTTTGCTGTAGATTTAATAAATCACTTGTTCACAGCCAATAACTCACTTCTTGTTAAAATAATAAAACGGCTAAAACTTAAAAGCCTAAAGGCTGCTGTTATTGTAGCAATAAGTTGTCTTTGTTTTTAATAACTGATGTAATCACAACATAAAAATCCCCATTTATGTTTCGTGAGAAGCCACTGTGTGCGTGGAAGGCTGCAGCACAGCTTTATCAGTTTAACAAGCATGACAAAGGTTAAGAAGAAAAAAAAGATCTACCTCGCACTGCTACTGAATGTTCTGAAGCCAGACAACATGTCAGAGCTGATTCAGGACATGGACTAATGTTAGAACTTAAAAGAAATACTGTGGATAGGATATTTTCAGATATTTAAATTACCCAACTTAATTAACGATTGTGATAGATGGAAACTATCAGTGATTGAGATGGAAGGAATGATCGGCTTTGTAACAAGAAGCCGCCGAATAGAAGGCAAACTTTAGCCTCATTATCTCTATTTCACTAGTGGAAAACATGAAGCATAATATAATTATTATTATTTTAATAATATATAATGTAAGATAATCCTGAAGTATATTACATATTTGGTTCCTATTTGACTGTAAACTCACTGTGCGAACATGCAGAGCTGTATTTAACACAGTTTCTTGTCAAAGCTTTGAGGATTCATTTCTGTTAGCATGTTAACATCCGAACAGTAATTTTAGCTTAGCTTACACTGCACTAGCTTTATGACCTCTGGATATGGCAGCAGCTGAAAAAATAAATTTATGTGCAGAACTGCAAAAGCAATTTTTTTTATCATATATTTACAAATTTCTCTGTGAAGCAGGAGGACTGTTTTATCCTGTTAGCTCCGCATGGTTATGCTAGTCTGAATGTGTATGTGACTGCTGCACCATTTAAAATGCAACAGAAAAATTCAAACAAAAAAGCGGACTTCAGTTTCTTGGAGAGTTGAAGGCATGATAAGTAATGAGGGTTGCTGTGTTCCTGCATGACATGTGGGTAACGTTAACTTATTTTTGCTGTTTCACAGAACCAATGGGTTTATGATCGCTAATCCCAAATGGCTAGCTTTGCAGGAGCAATTGTAGTGAAAGTTTGCCAACTGATTTTTTTGTCCATACAACATTTGTTAAGGGTTTTATGGCCATGAAGATCTAAAAAAGTGTCTTTCGCTTTGGCAATGTGCACCCATGAGTTTGGGGGGTGGAGCATCTGAAGGGACACCGAAGGAAGGGGTGTATTTGTTTTGTTGTTGAGTTCAAATACCAATCATTCTCCAGAATCATTTACTGCGCCTTTAAATGTGGCATCCAGCCCCGCCCTCCATCGGTTTCAGCAATCAGCCAATCGTGCTGCATGGCAATCGATATCGACCCCAAAAAACACTGATCTGTCCTTCTCTAATCACTGATTGATGATACTATTGTCAGCTCAAGCCTACTTCATAGACTATTCTGCAAAACCAATTCACCACTCACTGGTGCGAGATACAGCCATCTAGGCCTCTTCCACATGCATATCCACACCAAATCGCTTGATTTTCATATTCCATTAGAATTCACTTTAGAAAAAGTCAAAATAATAAATAGTTTTTGTGCACAGCTGGAAGTGGTCAGATACTTCACAATATATAATCACCATACAGGGGCTGTGATACAAGACCTTACTATTACACTACATTAATAGTACATCTTGCACAAGTACACAACGATTTTATATAAAACACATCAGATTTCATCTTACAAGAAAATGTCTAAAAAAGGCTTAAAACATACATTTTCAGGAAAGCCAAGACTATCAGCAGGAAACACACACAAACTCTGCAGCACTTTCAGGCCTAGCAGAACATTAGAAAACCACAAAATGACATCACTTTATCATAAACTGAAAAATGTTTGGTGAGATCACCTGTTGGGGCCACTGGCCAGTGTTAAAGGGCCCATATCCTATATTTTTATGTATATTACCTTTTACCCCTGCGCTCCACTTAAGGCATGTGTGGGATTATGTACCAAAAAAGTCGTAATTCATTTTTACATAACAATTTTCCAATCTTTCTTTATCCCTTAGAAACAGGCTGTTTTTGTTACAGTGTCTTTAAGACCGCCATATGTAAATGACCTCTGTTCTAATTGGCTGCCCTGTGTTGTGCCTCATTCAAAGAGCAGCCGGGACTGAAACACTCCTTATAACTTCAGTGTGAATGGGCGGGGCTAAACCAATGTTGGCTGAACAGGTAGATAATTTTAAAAAATGTTGTATTTTGTGACATTAGGAAAATAGTTTCCATTGATGGACTGGATGGGCTAGAGAGTGAAAAATGTGTGTTGAAAATATAACAGTGTTGGCGTACTCCATTAAAGGAAGCAAGAAAAATCCAGTTTTCCATAACATGTCCATTCTGGACATTATAGAAGTTAGCATGCATGTCAACACCGCCTTACAGACGACTGACATGCACGTCTTATGCTACCCATTACTGTCTAGTATAAATGATGGTGCTGGGAGAACTTGAGCTCAGCAAAGGAACACCAATCGGCACATAAACAACAAATAAGCTCGTGATTAGTCTTCAGCCCCATTAGTCCAGTTTGGAAGGCGTCATGATTTCAGCTCCATCACTAACCAGTTACAATGACACTGTTCGAAAATTAGTCTGTGACACATGAATCTGCTAATCCAGACCATTTCAGGTAATTCAGATAGTGTGACATTCAAAGACTCATGGAGATGATAACGTAATCTAACGTACATTCACATTAAGATGAGGCTTAAGTCAGCTTATTTTTCGGCAGCTTCTTGTTGGAATTGTCCCGTTCCCGCTTAAATGGTGCAGCAGTTACATTCTGAGGCATTTAAGGTGGAACGGAAAAAAAAAACAAGAAGCTGGCGAATAAGAAGCGAACTTGAGCCTCGTCCATTAGGTCAGGTTACTGACAATTTAGCATTAGTCACTGTTCTCTGCATAAAGCTGAAGTTAGCTTCCTAATCGATTTTTCCGTTCAACCTTAAATAGTACAGCAAGTACGTTCTACTGCCACACTGTAAGCACATATACAACCTATATATTTTGCCTAGGTATTAAAAACAATCGAATCTAAAATGTCAAACTCAACGACTCACCCAATGAAGGAAAAACAGGAATGTGATCTCAGATCGATCACAGAGCGGGTCAGACCTCAAACTATTCCAAATGAACGAAGGAGATAATGAAAATAAAAATAAACCTAGGATTCAGGCTACAATAACAGGAATATTAACAGTGAGCGGAGCCCATGATGAGCAGGAATCTGCACTCAGCTGATTGCAGCCAACGGTGCTGATGTATATACACTTCCTGGTGGGCGGCGGGGGGGACGAACCAACCAGAGAGAACAGGGGATGTTCAACCTGGCTTTTTTGTTGTGTAGAGTTTTATCCTGCTATGCACACATTTGCGCTGTTAAAGAAGCATTCGTAGTATCTTGTAAAAGCAATATAGACAAAAATATCTGTCATAGTGGACACAATACGTGGACTGGATCTCTACAGATCTGTGTGTTTTTACCCCCACTCTTTAGTTTTGTCCAGGATGTTGTGTTTGCCCAGCTCGCACCAGGCTGTCACATTACTGCAGCTCCTCAACACCGTCAGCGTCATTCTCGAACAGCACTAACGTTTTATTACCATCCACTCCGCAGACTGGCTGTATTTTACATACTGTCCACGTCTGAAACTATAGATATCTAATTTCTTGACAGAAATTTAATTTGACCAAGTAAAATGTTAACAATAATAGGGGAATTTCACCAATTGTTCAACATTTCTTCATAATTAAACTGTTAAAGTGTAAACAAAGTTATTCTAAGTGAGTATTTGATGTGAAATGCTCCATTTTAAAGAAACCTATAGTCACAGTTGTTCACAGCAGTGGTGATAGGAACCAGACGTCTTAAGTATTTAACTCTTAAAACTACATCTCCAAAAGTTATTACATTAAATGGTTATGAATACACTTGTCCAGGTTACGAATACTTTAGCTGATTCTTGAGCCATTGTTTTACAATAGTTTTGAGACAAGGTTTTGCTCTGAAACATATTTTAAAAACCACAAAACAGTCCCCAAAAAATATTATTTTTTTACCATTATCAAATCCTGCCTTCCGCCCAATGACAGCTGGGATAGGCTCCAGCGCCCCACCGCGACCCAGAAGGATAAGCGGTTTAGATGATGTATGTATGTATGTATGTACCATTATCAACATTACACATAAAAACTCAGAAAACACATGTAGGTTCACCGGTGGTTTTGAATGGTAAATAAAATGGCTACATTTGTGTTGTTGATTCCTATCACCACCACTGTAAGAAATGAGTACAGTACAGAGTCAATGTATTTCTATAGAACGGAGAATTTTACATCAAAACACTCTGAATAACTCTTTACATCTCAGTGACTGAATTCTGCAAAAACCTTTGGAAAATCAGAATTCCCCTTTAATTTGTTTTCCTTAATGTATACACCTGTATTTTTTATTTTAATTAGATCAAATTGTGTTATGGCACTTATCTCTTTATATATAGATTTTTGCATTATCTTTAGGTACTTTGCATCACTTTGGCTTCTGCTGTTTGCACATTTTGTAATTCACTCTGGGTAAGAGCGTCTGCTAAGTGACAAAATGTAAGGTAAATGTTATGGGAGGAAAAAAATACTGGTGTAAATTAAATTTCAACATTTGTCTCTGTCTCAATAAGAAGGTCTGGCTTAATGTTTTGGTCTCAAATGAAAAATCAACATTATGAAGGTATGATGACAATAGCAGATAAATCCTCAGAAGGCATGTCATTCACCATGTTTTGACTGAGTTACCTGTGAATGCTATTTCAATGCACTCACAAACATCAGATTCATTCAGCTAGGGAAGTGGTCCAAAGCACAACCGAGTCTCCAAATCCCCCAAAAATACAAAGTGTAGTTTTACAATTGTTCTGTTAATTTTCTCACCCAAAAGTAGACTGAAGATCTTCCAAAACACTACAATATATTTGTTTTTTGTAGTTCTGGCACCTTGACTTGTATGTGACAATCTGGGGCTAATTTACTGCAGTTTATCTGGCCACTATTTTACTGCCACAGATTTAGTCACTTTACAGTTTTTTTTGTTAATGTGGATACGTTGATCATGTTGGTAATTGAGACCACTATGTGTGAGAGGCAACATATTGATGACTCCAATCGTCTCAGCCATTCTTTTAATGTAGCATGATGGCAATAGTTTAAAGAACCTTAAGAAACTTCCACAAACATTGCTACCACCCTGTCATGAACTTTCTGCCTTTTCTTGAGCTGATTCCCCAGCTTTCCATTTTTTTTTTGTGAAAATATTTAAATACCCTTCAAATAGCCAGCTAATTTCTAACAGTATACAGAAACTCATTGTACATGCAAAAAGGAGCACATGATTTTAACATTTGGTAAGATATTTATGCTGTGACTGAGATGGATTTCCTTGATATTTATACTAACCAGCCACTTCATTAAGTACACTTCCTTGTTTCTACACCCATTGTCTATTTTATCAGGTCAATTGGCCATATAGGTGCACTTTGTAGTTCTACAAAAAAGTGGTGGATCCTTCTCAGCAGCTGGAAGAATAGTCCACCAACCAAAACTATCCAGCCAACAGCATCCTGAAGGCAGCATCCTGTGACTTAAAAACTCCAGCAGCACTGCCGTATCTGATCCACTCAACACACACTAACACGCCACCAGTGTCATGCAGTGGTGAGAATGATCCACCACTCAAATAACACCAGTGTCTTGACCATCAAAGAATAGTGTAAGAGGGGTCCAACAGAGAAACAGATGGACTACAGTCTGTATTTGTAGAACTACAAAGTGCTCCTGTATGGTAAGTGGAGCTGATAAATTGAACAATGAGAGTAGAAACAAGGTAAGTGTACTTAATGAAGTAAAGATTGGGGTATGTGTTGACACAAATCCAGCTAGTCTTGTGACTCACAAGCAGTAGTATTTCTGTGAGAGGTCATGGGATCAAGTGGCTTCAAAGATGGCACCAGTATGGCAACAAGATACAGGAGGTCATTTAAAATAACGAATTTACTTTGCAGTGGACTTTCTATTTAAACATAGTAAAGAAGGCTTGTAATCCAGTTCAACATCTTAGGCAATGAAGTGACCTGATTTCATTAATTAGGTTCTCTATAGAAGAATCATTAATTGAATTGGTCTCTGCAGGGATGGAACAAAAACCTACAGTGTAGCAAAGATCCACAACAAAGCACTTCTTTAATCCCATGATGGTGGCCTTACTTTTTCATGCATGATACTAGTAACCGATTGTTCATTTCAGACAAAGCTAATTCCTATGATTGTTTACGGGCAGACGTTATATTGAGATATTTTGCATAGTGCAGTATCTATAGCCATTCTATGAAACCATACAGCTTTTGAAATAAATGTTCTGATGCATGGCAACTTTAAAGACAAGAAAGTGATGTTGCATTTGAGCCTTCTTTTCTGGTGTCAAATGCTATTGCTTAACTCTTTAGACGGTCAGTTTGACCCAGTTTTTTGTGATTGTGTTAGTTTGCCTCCAGCAAGCATTCAGTGGTTGAGTGATGTCCAATGCTGGAATTGAATCAGGCTAAATGTCTTACTAAAATTGTTCCTCATTTTATTTTCCCCATCAGCAGGTGCATGGTGACGTACCCAAAACTCAAAATAAGCTTTTGTGGTAGGCCAAACTCACGATGCTTCGATCAAGAATTATGCTGAAAACAAGAATTTTATCTTTTTATGATAAGATATGAGGAATCTTGCTTAATATGACCAGGCATATGAAATAACATGGTAAAAAAGTACAATTTTGATTTCAGGTTGAACTTTATTTGATCCTATTGTGTGTCCTTATCTTTTCAGCATCCTCATCTTACCTAATTCTCTTTGCTGTTCAGAATTGTGCATTGCTGTCTAAGAAAGACCAAGGGTTTGTCCAAACAAATCCATGCTTTTGCATAACTTTACTGTGCAAAGTTCAGACTGTGACCACTGTTTCTGAATACTACACAGGCTGTAGGTCACTGTCCCCTGACCCCTCAGTTAGTTTCCCCTAAAAGCTACTGAAACTCTTTTACAGAAGGGAAGGTTTTGTTGGATTTTTTGCTTGGAATCCTAACAATGGAGGACTGTGTCACCACTAGGAATTGAACCCATGATCACCTGAGGATCAAGCATTTATAGTTGTACAAGCCATAAAGCCAAAAACAATGTCCAAAAAAAGAATATATATATATTTTTTTTTGCTCAAATAGATGTTACGAAACATTTTAATGTTAAACACTATAATTCTAGTTTCTGCTAGTGCTCCTATGAAATTGTAGTAGTACATTAGTGCTATGGTAAGGGCAATTCACATTAACATTTTTTTTGGCTGATCTAGATTAAACATGGACATTTGAAAGTTGTAAAGACATTCTATGTTTTATTTTACTTGTCTGGGACTGAGAAGACCTAGAGAGACATTCTTCTCACAAAATTGGTAAATCAAAACATATATGGTTGATTCTGTTGTCAGTTTCTTATTATGATGGAGGTTAATCTGATGCATTAGGCCTTCGGTAGTCTCAGCCTCAAATGCTCTGCCCACACATAAACAGACCGTCTGATATCTATTGTAGGTTAAGCCGGCCAATTATCAGGATTTTGTTGCATTCTGATTGTGTCTTACTGAGATTTATTATTCTGATGGGAAATATATAGTCAATGGATTGAAAAAAAGTTTAAGTTCACAGCATTACACATTTAAATGTTATCAAGAATTTCATTTGACGCATTTCATAGCTTTTAAGGGAGATGTCTTTTTGAGTTTGCTCACATATTTGTTTCTGTTGTAGCTGTGTTTTTGAAAAGATTCTGCCCCATACGTCACTTTTAAACAGTGGTCTGTGGTTGGTTGCATGTCAGTCAAATAGCCTTTCCTGACAAAGTTCAGACACAGTTCTTGGCCATGTTAAGTGGCAAAATGCAACAGACTCTCTGACGATAGGCAGAAGCCTGGCTTGCAAGACCAAGCCTTCAGTCCAGTTCCTGTAGTCCTAGCTAATGGAGAGCTTGTTTGGCTCTATCTAACTGGATGACCTGGGGGGGGAAATCCTAATTGGACAATTTTCCATGGTGTGTAACCCTTTTGTTTATTTTTCAAAAAAAAAAAATCATTGGAGGAACTTTGGTGGTTCCCCCTGCAAACAACTAATGCTAATATGTTTGTGTGATGCAGTGCAGTTTTTGCCCTTTCACCTATTCTAATGTTGTGAGTGATGAGTTAGAGGACATGTAAAGGCATGTTTGCTGAATGAATTATGTGAATATCCAGATTGACCTGTCACAGTTTAGATTCCAGCAGTGAAATGACAGTACCTGCCCTCACTCTTAATGGAGTTTAAAAGAACAAAAAACTTGTCACAAAAAAAAAACAAAAAAAAAAAAACACATTGGATCTTGTTTCCTCATATTGTAATCATAACACGACAGCCATAAAGACAGCCTTCTTAGATTTGTTGGATTTCTATTTACTGTAGTTATTATCCGTCTTAAAGAAGATATAATATGAATGAGGGAATTTATTTTCATTTTGATCAGATCTATATAATCTAATAAGAAACACTTATGTGAGTTTTATTGAAATGGTTCACTTTGCATTTATTTGTTGCAGCTACAGGTGATACCTGTTAGTCACAGGTAGTCCTCTCAAGTTTTCTTCATGATTGGCTTGTTACAATCTATTAACATTAGTTCCATTCAAATATAAAGACAGCTCTGTATTATATATTATATATGCTCTATTTAATTGAACTATATAGACCTGTATTTTCTAATCCTGCAGTTTCAACTATTCCCTGCTCCAAAACACCTGAAGGTACAGCTCATGAAGGGCTAAAGAACCAGTAAAGGAGCTGAATCAGGACTGTTGGGACAGCGAACAGTCAAAACTATGCACAGCAATTGGTCCCCAGCATTAAGAGCACAGATATAGATGGACCAGAACTGATCCAAGATCTCCAGAACTAGTTTATTCCATTCCAATTGGACAACTTCCCAGCACCAGACATATTCCAGAACTTCACCTAGTTATAATCAGAACTCTCTGATTCTTATACTAATGTAGTCTGAGCAAAAATCAGGTGTAGGACTCTTTCACACCACATGAAAACATCATCTCCCTTCTGAATCATTTATTAGACATTACTCAAAACCTGGGCCATAATTATTGCTTCAGAACTACTGGTCATGCTACACCAACCGCCTGCATTCAGCCAGAAGGAAATGGCAAGGGCTTAACTTTGCCATGCCACTTCAATGTAAATATGCTGGACTGTATTATATACTACAAAGATGTCAGCTAGATCCATAATTCATAATCTAGGCTAAACAAAGACCCATTTAACTATGAAATTACCAGACCAAGAACTGTATGTCAACTAAAATATATAATTGAGAAACTTTTTGCTTTGCTCTTTAAAGGTGCACTTAATTTTTATTTCAAATATCAGGACGTGATCCTACTCAATCAGCTGCAGTTATTAAAGTATGTGAAGTTCAAAGAAATGCATCAAAAGGTGCATTACTATTTTTTCCATTCTGTTATGGCCCAAAACAAATTTCCCAACACTACAACTAAATTTAGTCTTTTAATTTTTCTTGTTCTTTGCATGATTATTGTTCACTGGTCCTCCCTTCCACCCCAACCGCACCCCCCCCAACAAAAAAACAACAACAAAAAAAAAAACAAACAAAACAATTTTAACGTGACAGAATATTTATTATCATCAACACAAGAGGACAGAATACTACAATAGGAAGTAGGGCAGTAGTATCTCCATCTACCCTTTTAAACGATTGGGTCTGGTCAGTCCACAGGACTTAAGTCTCCCTGATTAGCTTGGTGAGCTTCTGGATCTTTGATTTGGTGGACATGTCCACATACTTATCACCGATACTGACGATCATACCACCGAGGATGGAAGGATCAGTCTGTGAACACAAAGAGGCAAGTAGAAAAAAGCTTTACTTCATATGTTGCCAAGAGACTTTTTAAATTTATATATGTTCTGGTAGACTTTACTGAGCCCACAAGACAAATTTGTCATTTTGTTATCTAAGTATGTCCAGTCTGGAAGCAGCACAGTGTCATCAGCAGAGCAGTGCTGCCTGGGGCAGTGGGAGGGGGGGGGGTTAAGTGCCTTACCCAGAGGCACAACCATGTATACCTAGTTAATCCTGGGATTAAGATATTTAGATTTTATTAGATATTAAGATTAGGGGTCAACAGTTATGTTTTTCAGGACCGATTGTGACTGTTAATCAGGGACACCAATAACAGATATCTGTTGCTCAAAAATCCAAGAACGACACTCACATTATTTGTATATTAGAACATTGTAAAAAATAAAATGCTTAAAACTTTAGACAGTTATGTTGTAAAAAACAGTAACAAACATTTCAGTTATGTTTAAACAGCTAAAAATAAATCACAAATAGCACTCAATAACATTTAACAGCGATATTAGTAACAAAAACAGAGCTCAAAAAAGGGGCTCAAGGACTTTAAATTAAAAACAATTATACAAATATACATGAACACATTTTTATACAAAACAGATACATAGTACGAGTTACAGACAGTGTTGAAAAGACACACATCGGGGTGGGGCTTGCCTTTCCAGAATATGGGTGGAAGCAAGGAAGCCTAGATACAGGCTACAAACTTGCTTGAAGCCTAGCTATTCAAATACACAGAACTGTAAAAGTAACCCTAGGAATAATGTCACAGTACATCATCTGAGCATTCATGCAGCAAAAAATGCCAACTTTGTAAAATGCAACAACAATGAGGGTGCTTATTTCATTTTGATGTTCAACCAAAAACGTATTTTACATGATAGCAAGCAGTAGTTGGACGTGTTAAATGAATAAGATGTGTTCTGGGGCCAATCATTTCATTTACTAGATGAAGGAGTGCAAATGTCTTTGCTTATGGTTACCGAACATAACTTGATGGTTATGATTTGCTAGTTAAGAAGAGACAGATATCCCTCAAGAAAGACGGCCGATTCCACAGCAGTACATAAATGAATCCAAGTACTAATATAATGGCTTAAAATTTAGGGCTAACATTTAGGACAACAAGTCGCATCCCGCAAAAGCACTGCTTAGCAGCGCAGAGGTGCTCTATAGTACTGTTATTTAGGTTTGAGTTTTAGCAGTGGTGGACCAAACTGGTTATTAATAGGAGAAGAATACAGAAAGGGTAACCCCTCTTTATAGTATGTCTGCATTGTTGAGCAACCCAGCCCTTCACTCTCCCCTCTGACAGAGCAGAGCGAAACATTTTCGAGGCTCAATTACACGGATTTGATTTTACATTAATATTTGAAAGAAATATCACTTGTGCTGTACACACACTTGGCAACCACTTATTCTGTGTTTGTATTTTTATTGTATTGTGTAAGCAGCACCATTCACCTTTGAGGTAGAAGTGCTTCTTAGCCACTGAGAAAAATAACTAAGCTAAATAACTACACATCTAAAAATACTGTGAACTTTTTTGCTCTTCAGCTTGATTATGCTAAGAAACTGCCCTTGGCACAACTTTTTTCTCACCAAAGTTTTCCAACCATAAAATGTAAATAAGTCTTCAATACCAACCTTGGCCTCCAGCTTAATTGTTTCTCCTTTTGCCAAAAACCCATTTAGTGCCACCTTCAGATCTGCAAGGTTTGCCTCATCTAGGGCCTGCATTTACCAAACACAATAGGAAAAACATAAGATGCTGGAAGCAAGCAGTTTATAATGGTAAAATGCAAATGTCAATAGCAAATTTGAAAGGATGCGTTTTACCTGAGCAGTGGTGACTGTGCAGGTGACCTCTCCCCTGTGGGCGCTCATCATTTTTCCAAAAGCAGTAATGACATCAGGGGTCAAAGTTAGCCTGCCATTTTCAGCCAGCACATCTGTAACGGAAAAATTCCATATCAGGTCACAAACCTTACAGTACAATAAAAAGTAATTGGGGGGGGGGTCAATTCTCAGATGTATCGCGATGCGGATGATGTGGATGATTCTGAATCGATTTACAAATGTCAAAAATCGATTTTCTAAAATTTATTTGAAGGAACTTGGAAGTGTGGAAGTGCAGCGCCTGGACAGTCTGTGGCATGCACATAACAAAAACACAAATGGATGAGCGAGAAATCCGACCGGCACCCTCTGCATTAAAAGCTAGGTTAGGTCAGGAGTCGACAACCCAAATGTTAAGAAGAGCCATTTTGTCCTTTCAACAAAAACCAAACCACCCCTACAACATTAAATGTCCAATATGTCTCAGTAAAAAATATAAACGAAAAATATAAACAAAAACTCTACTGTGGAGCCGCACCAGGGCAATAAAAGAGCTGCATGTTGCCGACCCCTGAGCTAGCGTGTGGAAGCACTTTCGCTTCTATGAAGTTGAAGGGAAAAAGGACCTGGATGGGAGCCATACTACATTCAGGTTGTGTCACGCTAAACTATTTTGGTAACAATAAACATGAGAAACCATATTACACATTTGCACCCGTTTCCCATCCAGTTGTACTTGCTGCCAACCAGAGGACCATCAAGCAAACGATGTCAAAGCTTCCACCCAACTCGGTAAGGGCAAAGCAAATTACAAAGTATATCGCAACTTTTATTTCCAAGGATTTGCGTCCGTACTCAGTCGTTGAGAACCAGGGCTTACGCGCTATGCACATGGAGCAGAGATACAGCGTCCCGTCTCGAAGATATTTTACTGACACAGCGACCCCCCACTCACTACAGTGAGACCAAAACCGTAGTTATAAAATCACTGAAGAAAACGAGTAGGACAGCTGTAACATGTGCTGCGTGGACATCTATTGCCACAGAATCTTATGTTACCGTAACTGTGCATTTTATCACAGACGCAGCCTGCATCTCACTGCTCCAAACAAGAGCAGTGAATGAGAGCCTTCCAGTTCACTTGCCACATCATTTCCATTTGTTTTATCAATTCATTATGGTTAATTACAAACACTTTGCTTTAAAAGTACCAGGTCATCACATGGTGAGAAAAAAGAAATCCTGTATAGAAAAAAGGATGCATCATGATGCATCGATAATCGTTTTATAATCGTATTGCAGCCCTCTGAATCGTAATTGAATCGTGAGGTGCCTAGAGATTCCCACCTCTACAAGTAATGTTTACTGTTGCAGGCAAATTCAAACATTTGTTACTCCAATTACACTTTCCAAGCTCATAAAATCACACTGGTCTTGACTGTATATGCCACATGTACGTTTTCAATTTAATCATGCAGTTAAATATCTTGACGTTTTGCTCCAATTTAATGACACTCACTGATGAGGTTTACTGTGATTGGGGAGAGCTTGGCCTTGCTCAAAGCATCATTGAAGGTCTTCTGTTTGATGCTTCGCTTGACATGAGGGTTCATCACAATGCTTGACAATTTAGGGTCCTTAATAAGACTCTGCAAACAAAAATTAAGCAGTGTAAGTAACACAGAAATAAACATAAATAGTCCTGAGGGTAAGGAGCCTCATAAGGAGACAGCACATTCAAGACACACAGATGTGGAAGTAAGGAGATCAACTCACAGCCACACGGCCCAGCTCCTGCTCCACCTTGTCCAGACTCTTCTGCTTGCTGGCAGCAGAAAATAGAGCAGTGGCATAACGGCCCTCTACTCCATACACCTGGATGGGGGGCTGAGGGCACAGAATTAGAGTTGTACCTTTTAAAAGAAGTGCACTCAGTGCTAAACCATATAAGCTCATTGACATAACTACCAATAGGGCAGGTGGGGGCTGCAGCATGGGGGGCCCAATAGCTCCCAAATGCTTTTTTGAATTCTATATGCTACTTATGTATTTTACCTTCATCTACAAGTAACTATGATGTCAACCATTATCTGTCATTAGAACACCAACTTCGATACAGACACACAGCAACAGTGAGTAAATTAACAAACTTTTTTTTAAATAACTGAAGGTATTCTTTGTACCAGGACCCAATGTATTTTGCACTGAGACCACAAAAGACTCGCAATTCTAACAATTTAAATAAATTAAAGAATGTCACCATTACTGGAGTAAAAAAACAATAAAATAAAGCAAAAGACATCTAAGAAACTCAGAGAATAAGCAAAAAAAAAGCCTGTGTGCCAGTTATAGAAACAGTCAGTTAAAACAGACACACGTCTACTAAAAAGGTGTAAACACTGCCTTGCAGAAAAGTGGCTGAGAACGTTCAATGACAGAGCCTGGCAGCAGACAGTTCAATTAAACTCAACGACTTCATACATCAGAAACATGCTTAAATTTGAAAAACATGGGTAAAATCCAATGTTCATAAACAATAAAAAAAAACAAAACAAAACAACAAAAACAGATGCCATGATAATGTGGGCAGATGAGGTGACGCTTACTGAGGTGTCTTGTGGGACATTTTAGTGATATCTACATATCTTGGTGTTCCCACAGCCTAAATAATCTAAAACATTACAGTATAAACATTTAACTGAAGAATAAACGGTACAACATTCTTTTCCACATTACCTTGATCAGCTTTGCTGCCGGTCGGACCACCGACGTGCTGAACCGACGCACCTGATGGGGCAGAGAGAGAAAACTGGATTAGGTAGGGAGATCAGATGTTGCAGTTTTACTGTGAGAGTCTCAATTTTAAGCCAAACACCCTCATGTCCCAGAAGACATTTTCACAATGGCAAAACATAAAGATTTTTTGACGTGTGACAAAGACAACTCTAAAGCTCTTCGGTGCCCATCATTTCTTTTCAATTCTAAGGTCAACTGATGTTTTCTACAAGCCATAAAAAAATTCTGACACTCAGCACTACTAAACCTATAATATGTAAATCACTTTTCAGAACTTTGTTCAAACTAGAATTTTACTTTTTTTCTTATCTATTGACATACTGTGAAGCATCTACTTTAATAGAAGAACATGGCTGACAGCAAAGAAGTTTCTTTGGTGTTAATGTTTATGTTTGCTGTCGCTTTGACATTGCATAGGCCAGGGGTTCCCAACCCTAGTCCTGGAGTACCACCTGCCCTGCACATTTTAGTGTTTTCCCTGCTCCCAACACACCTGATCCAACTCGCTAGCAAGCCCTGCATGACTTATGTGGGTTTATTAGAGCAAAGAAAACACTAAAATGTGCAGGACAACGGGTACTTCAGAATCAGGGTCGGGAACCTGTGGTCCTTTGGCCTAACTTTTAATAGTAGGTTAGCAAGACAATGTAGTGAAGAAAATAAGTGAAGATTGCAATTCCGTGCGATGCCGCTTTAATGTGGAAATTCCGCTGCTATTTTCTCCTGTATCCATGAAATACTCCTAGATTCTGAGAAAAGTGTAACTTATCCAGGAGTCCTTGTTGCATAGGCTATGGCTCATCATCTGCCCCAGATTAGCCAAAGTTACAGAGAAATGTTCAAGTAAAACCACATGAGACGGAGGATTCTGAAATCACTGTTTTGTGAAGGTTAACTTTAAGCACCACTGTGCAGAACAACACTTCAGCTTCGTGAAAATAGATGCAGCTCCTTTGCTGTTTCACGAAAACGAAGTCTGTTTTGTTACTTTAAAAAACCTGTTAATTCTAGTATCACTGAATGCTACACTGGGTTAACACGGACTATGACATTAAGACGGTCACTATTTACCACAAACACAAATCTGTGTGTCAAACGGTCAGCTAACGTTAGCTAACGCGCTAATAAACTCGCCAGCTACGTAACCTTCAACTCACAGAGTGTCTCGCCATACTGTCATTACAGAGCTAGCACAGCTGTCAACACGCGCGGTCTAAATATGTATGTATAGAAAACACGAAATAGGCGTTAATAACAGTGGGAAATCATTAAAAATCTGTTCTCTCTGAAGCCTTGATGGAGATTTGTTGCTACGTGGTTAATCCGCAGAAAACTAAAGCTAAGTTAGCCGGTTAGCTTGCTGGATAAAAAGGCCGAGACTTAAGATTCGTTTAAAAATGCATGCTGTATGGTCGCTCGCAGGTCCATGTTGTTGAAACCTTCGTAAAACGTAATAACAGGTTCACAGTGTACAGTACTTATTTTTTAAAATTAAAAAATATAAAGTTTTTCATAATTTCAGACCTGCAGCCCCAGTCCTGCCGCTGCCATTTTCTCCTGCCTCTGTATAGGTCAAAGCAGCTGCGCATGCGCACGAAAGGCGCATGAAAAAAGGCAGACACTGCTGTAGTGCATTGTGGGAAACATAGTTTGGTCCTGTTTTCAGTTTGTGGAAAATTACTGCCGGAGACCTCAAGGACAGGTTCGACATTGAAGGCCAGAAATGTACAAAAAAATCTGAACATAAATACAGTTCCGAGAAAAAGAAAAGTAAATATTCTTAACCAGAACTCCTTCTTAGCCAGATTCCTTGTTTTTATAACATTTGGACTGTTTTTGTCTTTCTTTTGAGGCCGAATGACACGTCTCATCAGTTCTATGTACAGCACTGGCTTTATTAATACATGTCCAATTCAAGCAGACATTAATGTAGACAATGGACTAAACTGCATTAGGTATCTCAAATTAGGATGTAGACTGTCCAAAGGAAGTAATTAAAAATAATATCTGAAAAGAAGGGCAATGTCACATGCATATCTTACATGACAGTGGTGTGGCAGCCAGCTAGTTGAAAAAACATTTTTCGGTCTATTTTATGCATTATTACATCTCTACTAAAAAGGGGTATTCTTCCTAAATCAAGTGTCAGTAAACACAGCTAACAGCCTGTAATAGCATTCTGCATTTTTCAGCCAGAAAACAGACTATGAGCACATTTCAGTTCTGCTGTTGTGACAGATGTATTGAAAACAGTAAATGCCCATTATGGTTAGAATCCAAGGGCCTTCTTAAATATGGTACATGAATGTTGAGGTTGTAGGATTAGAGCAGCTGTCCTAAAACCAAAGAACATAGGAAGTGTTTTCTGAGGTCTGACTTTTGGAGGATATTATTTTGGTTTTAAAAATCTCATTTATGTTTTCACTTAAAAGCCTCGCTAAAATGATGTTTGTCTTCTTTTTACTGACAGATTTACAGTTTTGGTAGAGGTTGACTGGGAACAGTTGCATATTTAAGGAACGCATAAGAACTAATACAATGGAGCTTGTCTGTATCTGTATCCTCCTTGTTTTGACTATGAGAGCACGTGCAAAAGCTTGATGTCATAGTGAGGCATTGTATGGAGGGCTGGGCAAAAAAACATTAGAAAATACTCTTCAATCACAAAAACATTCTGTGGTGTGAAATTCTTAGAATATGGCTAGAAGTCAAATGTGGTGTAGAGACAGTTGCTTTTTCCTCCTGAGTTTTGACTTTATGTAAAGAGGTGAAAACAGGTACAGGGCAATATATCATGAAAACAATTATTTCTGTATAATAAAAATACTTCCAAGGGTCAGTTCTGCAATTGTTTGGGCTCAAATTTGTTTTATCGGTGGCAAATCATAGGACAAGTGCCATTAGCTGGTGGCATGGAATTACACTGTGTGTTGATATTCGACCTCGGCTTGGCAAAGAGCATTGCTGGAAAAACCCGGAGCTGTGGTAAAATTCCAGACTGTTCTTTTAGTGACTGCAGAGTTTAAGAAGATTACAATTAGCTACTAAGAGAGCTTTTCATTATCCTGGCATGGAAATCAGCAGGCCTCTAGCATTTTCTAATACCGTTAAATAAGGGCTTACAAGAAATCACAAGAAGAAGTAAATACTAATATTATAAACAAAGCAAGTAATTAATAATAATAATCCAAGCGATAAGGGAAATTGTAAAGACATGCTTTCTCTGTTCAGTGAGTTTAACAAACTTGGGTGGGAGTGCCTACACATTTAAAAATTATGGTTCTTCTCCCATATGGTTTAATAATTTTCTTCTGACAGGTTCCAAGCCATTTGTTTTTCCCACTTGGTCTAATAACAACATCCGTATTTTGAATGATATTTTTGGCACCCATGGGCTTTACTCTTTTCAAGAGTTATGTAACCTTTTCTCTATTCCTGGTAATTCCTATTTTCTATACCTGAGACTACGCTCTGCGCTACGTGCATACGGGGTTCCATGGAATACTCAGTTGAAGAACCATATCTTACTGGACCATCTGTGTGATCATGAATCTTCCCAAGGCTTAGTCTCACATTTGTATGATTTGTTTATTCGATTTAAGAATTCTTCTTTAGGTGCAGTAGAGCTCTGGAATAGAGACCTGTGTACATTCAGAATTTCTGCAAATTGGGACGTGGTGTGGCACAACATTTTTCTGTCTTCAAAAAATTTGTCTCATCAGTTAATTCACTTTAAATTAGCTCACAGGATTTACATCACTCCCTGCCGTGCTTTTGTGATGAAACTTTCAAATGACAAAAACTGTAGCAGATGTCAGCTGGGTTTAGTTGGAGATTATGTTCATATGTTTTGGTCATGTTCAGTTGTGAAGGCTTTATGGCTGTATGTCATACAAATCTTGTCTGGTTATTTGTCTGTGAATATTCCCTTGTCTCCAGCCTTACTTTTACTTCTTGATGATTCCAGTTTAATGCTTACTGTACAACAAAGGAAAGTTATGATGGCAGCCCTGACCGCGGCCAAGAAATCAATCTTGAAAGGATGGTTTGAACCTAACCTTTCTTTATCTCAGTTATGGTGTAGATATTTTCTGGATATTCTTATTTTAGAACGGGCAACTGCCAGATTCCACAATGCCAAGGCAGCCACAATTCGCTTTTGGACTGAGGCCATTATGTTAACACTCTATAATCATGGTTGCTTTTGTAGAATGTGTATTAATTTATGATGTACGTGTATGTATGTTTGTACATGTATGTATGTGGATGCCCCCCCCCATCCTTGATATGCATGAGTGTTATTTGTGTATTTGCTATCAAAATTAAAAAAAGTTATTAACAAAAGGTTCTTCAAGGGATCTTTAGTAAAGAAAATGGTTCTATATAGAATATTTTTGAAAAGGGTTCTTCTATTGTTACGATATCAAGCTTGTCACAATAGAAGAACCCTTTTGGTGCTATATAGAACCCTTTTTAAAAAAAGGTTCTATATAGAACCATAAACAGCACAATTTTCATCAATCTGAAGAACACTTTCACGACGCAAAGAACCCTTTAATAATGCAAAATGTTTTTTGAGTGTTCATGGTTCTATATAGAACCGTTTTCTTTACTAAAGAACCCCTGAAAAACCATTATTTTAAGTGCGAGTCTGTACTCCCCCCACATGTACCAACCTAGGGGCGGGACAAAGAGGATTCGTATCTTTAAGAGCGTTCTGGGCTCAGTGCGCATTATTCCTCCACCAGCTGAGGAGGAAGAAGACAGAGAGAGAGAACGAAAGAACGAAGACCAAAAGCTGTTTACAACCCATGTAAATATTCGTCACGTTTTCGACCAGCTCTACGCTGACGGCATCCTGGAAGACGTGGCCAAGTGAGCTCCGCCAGTTGAAGTAAAACACTTCTATGGCGCTTCCGGAGTCGTTAATTCATTCAGTGGGCTCTCTCAGCTAGCAACGTCGTACGGTTTGTAACTCATACCATGTAAATGGTAAGTCGTTCCTCACGGTTGTCATTTCATTTGACAAGCAGTGAGCGAAAAGTGTGTAGTCTGGTGGAGAGAAAAGGGACAAATAATCAGAATAGTAAAAGTTCTGGCTCGTCGGCGGGAGGTGTGTGCTCCTGTTTTTAGATGTCGAGCCTTCTTGGTGGCGCTAACGCGACGTGTAGGTGCTGTTTGTGACGAGGATGTTTTTTTAAAAGTCGTGCCCTGATAGCGTGTTGATTGCTGGGTGGGCAACGGTTGTTCTCTTAGACACAGAACAAAAATGTCATTGTTTCCAACCGATGTTATGGCAGTGACAGCTGTTTGAAAGCGATGGCTGCCAGGTTTATTAGTTAATTTTGTTTGACACCGAAATCAGCGGAGATCTGCGCCTTCAGCCCGCTTACAAATTCTAGAAAATTCCACGCGCTGGATTCACGTTGGTGCCGCTCGTGCTCAAACTCTCGCTTGTGTTCTTCTGTCGGGTGACGTCGCCGAATGTGATTAAAATCTGCCACTCCCCTTCATCACTGCTAAGCGCTTTGTGTTTTTCTGAAATAAGAGACATACATATCATCCAATACGACAAGTTACTTGTGTAGTACTGCTGTTTAGTGGGGTTAAAACACTGGATTAACCACAAAACCCGCTCCTCAGAGTTTTAGTTTTTCGGCGCCTGACTAACAGTAGTTGACAGGGTTTATGGGAAATAATCGTTCGTCATGGTTCATAAGGGTCTCAAGGGTTATTATTGTCATTTCTTAATTGCTTGAATGCGAGGCAGCTGATCTTTTGCCAGGGGTTACCAGAGCACATCCAAGTAATGCATAGACTGTGGCAGTCTGATCCAATATCATGCTGGGCTTTGAGCTACCTGTAAGAGGAGAGAGTTGGCTGGCACGCTCACCTCCTTTTTGGCTGACAGCGAATGCAGTACAAGGGGATTAGCCCAATCAGTCTGCCTGAGCTCACTAACCTTAATGGAGCCCTGAATTTTGGCTTTGGAGCCTGACCTCATCAGCAAGATCTGCCGTAGAATAGATTGTCTGATAACGATTTGCAAGTAGAGGCTGACAGGAAATTACAGTGTAGGCTATCATAGAGGTTTAGTGTCATGTGGTGTTCGGTGTGTGCTCTGAGTCATGTTGGTGTAACCTGTTTCATCTGTGCTCTTGCCAGATGTGCATGTGTCGAGTGGAAGATCACTACAGTACAGAGTAAAAGCAGATAATAGAGGATGTAAGCATACAAACACTAATTTTTGAGCTAAATGGGACAAAAGGAAGGAACTGTAGATGGGGACATACTGAACATCAAGAGAGAAATACTGTTTTTAGTTCGTGCTGCTTTGCAGGTATGATAGAAATTTACTTGGTAGTGCTTGGCACTGGTCACGTCAACAAGCTAGAATTATGTTTTTTATTTTATGTATTGGGTTGGAAGAAGAAAATGAGTTTTTGCATTGAAGGATCAAATGATATCATATTAAATATAGCTTAAAAATGGAGCAGTGTATGTGTGCTATATTAGCATGAGTACCAAGAGAGGGCAGTAGTACAGATGTTTTCTGATTTAACTGGCAAGACGATGCTTTCAGTAGATTCTCTTGCATTGCTGTAGCTTTCGTGAAACATGGTGTTGTAATCACAGTAATTTTCACAGATGCAGACAGCTTCAGTTGAATGAACAGTAATGCTGTGGACAGTCTTAAGTTGTGTTGCCTGCTCATGTAATTGTATCAAAGTGGCATATGTTCTGTTTTGTTATAATAGCTTCAGTCAGCCAAATCCCTTATTAAGAGCTCATATATAGAATAAAAAAAAACATTGGTGTGCTGAGTTCATGATACAAATAAAATAAAAATAACTAAGAACCATGCATGCAGCATTATGTAATAAGCTGACCTCTGATTCTCAGGGATTTCTATCCCTGAGTGTGCTGAAATGGTGGTGCACTGGAGTGAAGTGAAGCGGCACATTTGCATGTGTTTAGATTATGCAAACGTAAGAGCGTGTAAATGATGTGCTTTAGCTCAGAAGACATAGAAAGGTCACCAGTGACTTTGAGCATTCATCCATGCGTTTCTTGAATCTCTTCATTTATTTTCCACTGTAAACACTGTTGGGTGTTTTAAGTATTTGAATTATTACCTTACTATTTACAACCCCATTTCCAAAAAAGTTGGGACACTGTGCAGAATGTAAATAAAAATAGAATACAATGATATGCAAATCATGCCCTGCGATGGACTGGCGACCTGTCCAGGGTGTATCCTGCCTTCCGCCCAATGACAGCTGGGATAGGCTCCAGCACCCCACCGCGACCCAGAAGGATAAGCGGTTTAGATGAGATTGAGTGTGTGAGTGTGTGAGTGTGTGAGTGAGTGAGTGAGTGAGTGATATGCAAATCATGTATACCATATTTGTAAAGGAAAATACTACAAAGACAACATATCAAATGTTGAAACTGAGAAATTTTATTGTTTTTTGAAAAATAAATGCCCCTCTTGAATTTGATGCCAACAACACGTTCCAAAAAAGTTGGGACGGGGGCTTGTTTACCACTGTATTTCGTCACTTCTTTTTTTAAGAACACTCTGCTGAGACATTGTTGCTAAGCAACGACTTTGACAGCAGTAGGAGACGCTAATGCCATTTGAATGTTTTTACTTCTTATTTTGCACACAAACAGAAAATGGATACTTTTAAGATTACATTTCTCAAAAGCCTATTTGGTCAGACTCTTAAGATGACACTACACTAAATTCCCAAATTGTCATTACCACGGAGGAATTTTTACAATCGGCAGCTGTGACAGCACTGTGTTAAACTTGATATTGCAGCAGTTTTATGGCTCAGTCCGTACTTCAAAAGGCGAGGCTCACAGCGAGGCTGTGCAGCGAGTGAGCCGAGTTCGTTACTCTAATGTAGCAACAAGCTGCTTGTTACGGAACTGTAATTTGGCGGAAAGGAACTGCTAACATTAAAACTTATTAAATGCCACGTTCACAGCCAAATTTATTTATTTCTTCTTTTTATTTATTTAACTGTTGTATAAGCAATATAAAAGCAATATAAAAACTCGCCTTCGGCTCGTGCCTGTGACCAAATCACAGCTGTGATGTTATTTCGCAATAACACACTCCCTCTCGTGTTCTATTGCTTAATTTGATCATGCAGTCTTTCACAGAGAGGTGAACCCCTTCTCATCTTTTCTTTTAAAAGACTCAGCCTCTCTGGGATGCTCTTTTCATACCCAATCATGTTACTGACCTGTTGCCAATTAACCACCAGGTGTTTATTTTAGCATTAAACTTTACTTTAAACTTTACCAGTGTTTTGTTGCCCCCGTCCCAACTTTTTTGGAATGTGTTGTTAGCATCAAATTCAAAATGGGCATATATTTTTCAAGAATCAATAAAATGTCTCAGTTTCAACATTTGATATGTTGTCGTTGTACTATTTTCAATGAAATACAGGGTTTAAATGATTTGCACATCATTGCATTTTGTTTTTATTTACATTTTGCACAGCATCCCAACTTTTTTGGAAATGAGGTTGTATTTTAAAAACCAGCTTAAATAAACCTAGCAAATAATAGGCAAACTTAAGCTTGTATAACATTTGCAGATATTAAAAAAAAGTGTTGAAGGAAGTACATCCTAATTAAATTAGCATGCATTCCCCATCAAAACTGGAAGTATACTTCAAACAATGAAAGAACTAAGTAAAATTACTACTGCCGAACATTATTGAAAGTGTAGTTAAAAAAAGGTCTTTTTGACACTTAGCACCCTTTGAAGCCCATTTTGTGCAGTGATGCAAGCAGACATGACATTTAGAGCAAGTTGTATTGACTCCTCACGCTCAGTCTTTTCTCCAGGCATTTTATTAGGTTATGAAAAGATACAAATATAGTTTCAACTAGGAAGAATACTAGGTACACAATTGGACCTCAAAAGCACTGTTGTACCTTTTAGAGTGCATTTTCATTGTTTGCACCTTGATAAATGAAAAATGTTCCTGCACAGTACCTTTATTTTTAACAGTGCACAGTGTTGGCTTTATTTTGCTTTGAAACATCTTTTTTGTTTGAAGTACACTACTGGTTTAAGTGTTTTAACTACACTTGTATAAAATTGGCATGAACAGTAGGAACTCCACTTAGCTTCCAAAATTATACAAGTGAGTAACAGTGAAGAAATATTTTACTTGCTTGGCTTTTGTTCTGAGAAACAATAAGTTAGAATTTGCATTAGAGGGATATGTATGTATATTGTATTTTTGTCTTGTTCATGGACAGTAGTGAACATAGGTGCGAGTGAAAAGAATTATGTCATTACTAGTATGGCTGTCTACACAGAACTTTGTTCTAATGCATGCACCTCTTTCTCTTTCTCTCTCCCTCTCTGTTTCTCTCTGTCTGTCTCCCTCTTTGCTGTCTTGCAGGAATGTAAACTCTAGCCTTTACTAGACCAGAGGCCTGAGACGTCTTCCCCAAAATACCCCCTGTGCTTCACGTTGGATTATCTAAAACTAAATACACAAGCCAAATACAAATTCACCCAACAGATGGTGGATGCATTGTTTCCTTCCAGAAAGACAGCAAACCAAAGGATTAAAAGGTTTCTCGTTTTTGCATAACTTTGCACCTTTGTTCAAGTAAACACCTTTTTTCATAGTTGTACCTTTGTATTGGTTTGAACTGTACCAATAAGCATTTAAACATGGGGCCATCAATGGAGATAGCAGACATTGCAGTCGTTGCACTGTATTTTGTCCTTGTTCTTGGCATTGGATTTTTTGCCATGTGGAAGGCCAACCGAAGTACTGTAAGTGGCTACTTCCTGGCTGGACGAACTATGAACTGGGTGGTGATTGGAGCGTCGCTGTTTGTCAGCAATATTGGCAGCGAGCACTTCATCGGCCTGGCTGGCTCGGGTGCAGCAAGTGGTTTTGCTGTTGGTGCCTGGGAGTTCAATGCTCTCCTCCTCCTTCAGCTCCTGGGCTGGGTGTTCATCCCAGTCTATATCCACTCTGGTGTCTACACCATGCCAGAGTACCTTTCCAAGCGCTACGGGGGTAAAAGGCTAAAAGTTTATTTTGCTGCTCTTTCTCTTTTGCTGTACATCTTCACCAAACTCTCAGTGGACTTGTATGCAGGGGCACTCTTTATCCAAGAGTCCTTAGGCTGGAATCTCTACCTGTCAATCATCCTGCTTATCACCATGACAGCCCTGCTGACAATAACAGGTGGTCTGGTTGCTGTGATCTACACTGACACTCTTCAAGCAGTGCTCATGATCGGTGGAGCTTTGAGCCTCACAGTCATCAGCCTGGTCAAGGTAGGTGGACTGGATGGTGTTCGAGAAAAGTACATGGAAGCCATTCCAAATGTCACTGCCATCCTCGCCAGCCACAACTACAGTTTTCCCTACACAAATTCTTGTCGCATATACCCAAAGTCGGATTCACTTAAACTCTTAAGAGGTCCCCTCGATGAGGACATTCCTTGGCCAGGGTTCCTGTTAGGCCAGACTCCTGCATCCATCTGGTACTGGTGTGCTGACCAGGTCATAGTTCAGAGGGTACTTGCTGCTAAGAACATTGCTCATGCCAAGGGCTCCACTCTTATGGCAGGATTGCTGAAAATTCTGCCTATGTTCATCATTGTCATTCCAGGAATGATCTCACGGATAATGTTTCCAGATGAGCTTGCCTGTATCGGCCCAGAGCACTGCATGGCTGTGTGCGGCAGCCAAGCTGGCTGCTCTAACATTGCCTACCCACGACTGGTCATGAGCATAATGCCAGTGGGCCTGCGGGGACTGATGATGGCTGTTATGATTGCTGCACTTATGAGTGACCTAGACTCTATATTCAACAGTGCCAGCACCATCTTCACTCTGGACATCTACAAAATGGTGCGGACTTGTGCCTCCTCCCGTGAGCTGGTTGTGGTGGGAAGACTCTTTGTGATCTTTATGGTGACCATCAGCATTGCTTGGGTGCCCGTCATCATTGAGATGCAAGGTGGCCAGATGTACTTGTACATCCAGGAAATGGCGGGATATCTGACACCACCCATCGCTGCTCTTTTCCTTCTCGGTGTCTTCTGGAAGCGCTGCAATGAGACCGGTGCCTTCTGGGGTGGCATGACTGGCTTCGTTCTGGGTACGACACGTCTTATTCTTGGTTTCGTCTATCGCGAACCTCGATGCAACCAAACAGATGAGAGGCCAGCTTTCATCGCGCATGTCCACTATATGTACATAGCTGCTGGGCTCTTCTGGGTCTCTGGGCTGGTGGCTGTAGTGGTCAGTCTTTGCACCCCTCCCCCAACTAAGGAGAAGGTTCAGCGCACCACTGTGTGGGGACTACGCAGCGTGGAAAAGCTACCAGTGACAGAACGGGAGGAAACATACAAGTTGACCAGTAAGAGCCCTGTCCACTGCAATGGCAACAGCATGCTCCAGAAAGACCTGCCTCTGGACGTCCAGAAAGAGCGATGTCTTGATGGCGCTGATCTAAAACTCCTCATGCCTTCCCCTTGTGACCAGGATCCTGTGACTCCTAGCACAGTTGCACCCACCCCATTGGAGGCGTATAGCAACGGGCATGCAGAGCTGGTAGGGCGTAAGGATGATGGGAGCAGGCAGTTTGAGAAGGTCGTGTGTCTGCGCCTCTTTAATTGGATCTGTGGGTACAAAGAACAAGCTGCAACTCCTGCACCCAAAGCCACTGAAGAAGATGAACGGATTGTCATGGAGATGCTTTATGAGCCCCCGAAAATCAAGCTTCTGTTGAACTTTGGCCTGATAATAGTCTGTTCTCTTGGTCTCTTCATGTTTGTCTACTTCTCCCTGTAACCTGGTATTCATCATATCTATTGGACAGTGTGAACGGCAGTACGTGTGTATGATCTGTTTGTTATTACAAAATCTACAACCCCATTTCCAAGAAAATTGGGACACTGTGCAAAATGTAAATAAAAACAAAATGCAATGATGTGCAAATCATTTAAACCCTACATTTCATTGAAAACACATTTAATGTTGAAACTGAGAAATCTAATTGTTTTTTGAAAAATATGATGCCACGAACATGTTCCGAAAAAGTTGGGACGGGGGGCAACAAAAGGCTGGTAAAGTTGTGTAATGCTTAAAAAACACATGGTGGTTAATTGGCAACACGTCAGTAACATGATCCACATGATGTCTTTTTCAGGGAAGCCCTTGCTTATTTCAGCAAGACGATGTCAAACCACATTCTGCATGTATTACAAAAGAATTGCTCCGTATTAAATAAGTCCAGGTGCTAAACTAGCCTGCTTGCAGTCCAGACCTGTCACCCACTGATAAAATTTGGCACATTATGAAATGAAAATATGACAAAAGAGACCCTGAACTGATGAGCAGCTGAAATCCTATGTCAAACAATAATGTAAAGGGGGGGCTCCCGACTGGCGCAACCAAAAAAACCAAAGAAGAATGTAAAAACATTTCACTTTCAAAACTACAGCACCTGGACTCCTCAGTTCCCAAACGCTTACAGTGTGTTGTTGTAAGGAGAGGTGATGAAACATAGTCATGAACATGCCCCTGTCCCAGCTTTTTTGGAGTTTGTTGTTGGCATCAAATTCGAAATGGGCATATATATTTTTCAATAAACTATAAAATTTCATAGTTTTTTTTTTAGTATTTTCCTTTTAAAATATGGTTTACATGATTTGCATATCATTGCATTCTTTACATTCTGCACAGCGTCCTGACTTTTTTGGAAATGGTGTTCTGTAAAAACTGGTATTTTTTGTAGCTTCCATAAGATGGGCTCTCAGGACACTCATTCTGCTACAAATGAGCCTTTTCCATTGCCTCCATATCAAATCACTAAATTCTTAAATATATTCCAACTGTTGTTTCTTACGTCATGATGACCAAAAACGCTACTGAAACAGTGGGCATTTATATATATTTCTAGACAAAGATGATTAGTTGTAGAAATCTGTGAATTTTGCCTTATTCAGTGTAAGCACTCCCTTGGCTAGTTTTCTGCCTCAAGCATTTTTTTCTTTAAGGATCACTTATATCAAGAGTAAATACATGAAGCAGGGATGGAGGCTGTATCTTATATATGCAATTGTAGTTTTATTATTCCATTAAGATCTACTGTATTTTTAAATCTTGACAGTAGTCGTAAATTTTCCATCTATATTATTAAAATAGACAGATATTTGTAAAGTCAAATGTTGATGTCTTTTTGGCAAAATGTAAATTGAGAAAAGAGAAAAGGTGGGAAAGTTACATGTCAGAGTTTTATGAACAATCTTAATTATTCTTTGCAGTGCTGTATGCCATAACAAGTGTTGTGAAGTCTGTCTAAACTTACATGTTACCATTATTTTAACAGTACCTTTCTATGTGAGTGTTCAATCAGTCATTGTACTTGTAACAGTCTCCTCTTCCTGGTTACGTATTTTGCTGTATCACGCTGAAAGTACTTTTGTCATCACTCTGTAAGAGCAATGATTAGTGCACAAAGGTGTTTTTTAGGAACCACCAAAATGCCTTCTCTTCAAGTAGGGAGACTTAGTTCAAAAAACACCTTCTTGTCCCCATTTTGAGGATTTCAGTGAAGTTGTAGGTGAAATCTGGGTGACCAGTGTCTCAGAACTCACATATTCAACGCTGAAACACAAACTATACAAGCACAGCCTGTTTTTCCTGAGGATGTCAAGTGGATTGGCCTCCACGGGACAAACACCAGCCAGAAAACATCAGTTAAAATCACAGTGTTGTCTGAATTTGTGTAATATGTGAAAGCATATGATGCTATCCCAAAACGGGTCAGCTAAGACTGGGATGTCCAGTTTTGATTGCTGTGCAAAATAGTATTTAGTTCTTCTAGAGGAAGAATTTCAATTGTAGTTGCAGGAACAGGCATTGTCTGTTGTAGTGCTTTTGAATGCACTGTTTGTTTAGTGAAGGAGGAAGTTAGTGGCTGGGGTTCAGGCAAACGCAGACATGAATGGTTGTTCACCAAAGATGACTGTTTTGAAGTCAGAATTTGGTATCATATCGCCCGCTAGAAGCTTTTCAGACACGTTGCCCAGTAGGTTATCTTGATGGAGGTTAAATATCCCTGGCTAGTGATAGTGCATGTCGAGTTAGTAAGTAGTATTGTGTATGTTGAATAATAGCTCCACTTGGAATGCTGTTGTTTGGAAAATAAACATCATGTGCTACTGGGAATGAGTGGGATTCTAATCTGGTTTTGCAGTGGGTGTCTTCAGTATTCCCCCATCAGCTACAATGAATTGCCTGATAAAAGGGCTGCGATAGTAACCAGCAAAGATCCTAGTCCTGAAGGTTTTTACAGGGCACCGCCTGGGTAATTGAGGATTCAGAGTAGCCTTGTTCGTATATTAGTGAATTAAGAAAATGTGACTGGTTTCTATCAATGATTCCAATATGTATCAAAACAGAAAATAAAAAAAGACATCAGACTGAATTACTTTCTTGTGTTTTTATTATTGCACAGTGCTCTCAATCAGTTGTCTGATCAGTTGGTGTCAGTCTTCAAATAGCCCCTGTTTCTTGCATCGATTTATCCAGTCATTTAAATGCTCATATTTCTTATTGATAATGTGGTGGATTTCAGCCCTCATTCAGGAATGCACTACATCATTAAGAGCTGGTTCTGTCTGGGTTTCTGCAAGACCAAAACCAAAGGTGAAGGTATATGCTGCGATAGAATTCATAGACTACGTTTAGGAACTGTTTCCAGAGAAGTCACGTAATGAAGGCAGTTATTTTTATGCTATTCCTTACATGTTGCCTTGTTCAACATGTCTTTTTTTAAAATACGTTTTTAGAACTGCAAAGTAAGGAAACATTTTCAGAGGGTTTGTAAGTGAGTGTCAGATATTTATTTGGTGTGATGTTAACACGTTCTAGTGTTGGAAGATCCGATGACAAAAAGCATTTGAATGTAATGGGTTGTTTGGTGCTGTATTGAGCTTCATCTTTGGATTGGTCAGGTATCTGAATGTGTTTGAGGTCAATGCAGGTCCAGAATCCTGGAGAGGCATAGGGTGTAGAGTGGTGGATACCACCATATGGAAAGTACACAGCAAAGTTCTGTGTGCATGGGAGGTTGTTTGCTTGGTACCCACCAGGTTTCAAAATATGTCAAAATAAGTATTTTTATGTTGTAATTAATTTATAATGCACTCACTGGTTCACTCAGTGTCACTGTCTAAATTTATTGGAAATAATTCACCTACCAGTGAGTCACAATTCACGATGACCAAGTGCTTTCATTACGATTTTTTTGGTGTGTTTTTGCCTTTTTTCTTGTTTTAAGTGACTCCAAGAAGCACTGTAATTTGTGTTTTCATTTTTTGTTTGTATTTCTGATTTCATTTTTTTGTTTGTATTTGTGTTTTCGTTTTTTGTTGAGTGACTTGACCAAATATGTATAAAACCTCTCCTTACCAGATGTGTCTTACTTCGAAATTGGCTGTTCCTTTGAACCTACAATCCAGAGTGATGAACAAGCGATTGTTGTTATGCCCCTTAAGTAGCTTTGCACAAAGAGATCTGGCTGAACACAGTTGCTGTGTTGAAGAACAAGGGTCTCATACAGCTGTAAATTATACAGACATTGTGCTTTGCAGTCATCTGCATTTCTGAAGACCCCCTGTGTTGCTGAAATCTGGAGTTGGCGAAGCTGTTCAGTGTTTGATGCTTTAAATTACTTATTTGTTCAGCTATAAACAAACAGATGTACATATTTGCAAGTTTTTTATGAAAATAAATAAAAGGAAAACATGTTTGAGAAGTACAGTGTGCTAAACGGCCTGCTCATTTGTCTCAGTATTCATTTTTCACCAGAGTTTCCACATGTAGCCAAGCATTTACTAGCATGTAATTTAGTTTATTGAAACTTTAAGGTTTATCCTCCTGCCCTACAATAAATATTAAAGCTTAGTGGTGGAGTTTTGTAATGTTTGTGAATCTGTCTTTTAATGTATGTCATGACATTGTAATGAGGTACAAAAGTACTTTGGCAGGTGTTATGGTTTGAGAATGAGGCTGCACCATTCTGTACAACAACCAAAGAGAGAACAGTGCCAAGAGCGCCAAACACTCTTTTGAATTAAGGTGCCAAAATGGTTTGTCTGTTTGATGCCACAGAAGAACCACTTTGGTTGCCTAAAGAACCTTTCAGTGGATTTTTCTTTAAAGGAATACTGCAATGTCAACCAAACCTCTCATCTGTTTGTCTCATCTCATTGCTTATTGGCTTCTATGATGAATATATTTTTAACAGGTTTTTCATTCTTTTCCAAATGCAGAGAAATTAATGATAGAGGTTAAGTTGAAAAATATTAAAGAAATGTAAGAACATTTAAAGAATAATACACTACAGTTCTTTAAAGTCAGTGTGAATCACGAATCATAATGCATTTCCACTCCAAACATTGTATTAGGGAGGGTCTCTGAGCTAGCTGAGCATTTTCACTCATCTCAGAAGATGTTTTGAGGTAGTGTTGCCGCTTGTCCAGATTTTCCCTGGATTGTCCAGGTTCTTGGGTGCCTGAAAAACTTAATTCCTTAATTCCAGGTATTTTCATATGTTAAAATTTCTTAGGAGGTTTAACCCCTTAACAGGCCAGAGCCCACCGGTGGGCGCAATGTTTCATCACACACATCTATAACCTAAGAATAGGTCAAACAGTTTGCATTGAACTCCCTGTAGTTACTGAATATCAAGGCTGGGATTTTAAGCCATTAAACTACATATGTTTATCCCGTTAAACTGTTTGTATGCAAATACTGGGTGCACTGCTGCTAACATGTTTAGGCACTAGGCAGATTCTGTAGCTGGACTAACATCTATCTAATTTGGACTGCATATTGGACACCAACACACTGAATTTAGTAGAAAGTCAAGCCACTGATTGAGTGACCAGCAATTTTACAGGGCTTAAGGAGCAATCCTATGTGGAAGTCATTACATTTTGATTTTGATTAAA